CAACAGATACTCTCAGGTAACGTCTGTGTGACGTGTATCACAAGGAACTGGACAAACATATTTTTGTCAGTGTAATCCCTCAAATCCATAACTCTACATTTCCCCTTAAAAAAACACCTCACAAAATCAGAAGTTGACATGCACTTTACTGCAGTTCCAGCTATGGTTATAAACCAACGGCAGAGATGGGCCAGCGGTAGCTGAGCTACTCGTTTAGCTGGCAGCGACAGCAGCAGCACTGGCGACCACTGGGGATGAGTGATACCTGACACTGCACCCAATTCACACACTGAAAAGAATACAGGCATCACTAATTGGAAAAAACACCATCACTATCATAGCCAACTGCCTGGGTTTCCAAGTAATGCTGCTCAGACATCGCATCTCTAAGATAGGTCACTTGAAGTGAACAACCTTTATAACTTACATCTATTTAAAAGAGAATAAAACTGGAAATAAAATAATGGAGGGATTTCCTTTCTGGTTCCTACTTCACCGAAGACATTGGGGTTCAGGTTTACCAACACACCCCTGTGTTGTGCATATCAGCACACCACCACAGTTGAAGACATTTTGAAGAGCAAAGAAGCATCAATGTTCAGTGTGCACGCAACCATCACAGAAAAAAAAAAAAACACATTAGTTTAAAAACAAAACATTATTCAAATACAAAACAAATAAAAGACATGTCAGAATTACCAATACATCTGCTGCAAGTTCTCTGCTGGTTGTGCCTGATTACGAAGCCCTTTCTGAAGGACAGTTCCGGCATTCTGCACATTGCCTTCATTTACGAGATGCTGAGCCCAGGCAACATAGAAAGTAGACGTCTTGGAACCAATTCCCTGTCCATACAGGTAGTCAAAATATTGGCCAGGAGGAGTGATGAATTCCCCCTGCATAAACAGACACAGAATCCATTAGCACTTTCTAAAAGTATCCAAGAAAGTCACAAAGAAAAAGTAAATTCTAGATTTCTCCCCTAAAACAATTGGTATATAAGACAACTCTTATAAACTAAGCAGTTATATAAACAAACACACACAATTAAAAAAAAAAAGTCAGCCTTGTTATTAAAAATTCACCACCTCTCCTCAAGACTGAAAAAGTTCTACAGCCTGGAATGCTCCCCTTCCTCTTGCAGCCTTGTCTAGAGTTGATCACTTAAAGTCAATCTACAATTACATAAGGGGAGGGGCAGGGAAGAAAAGCCCATCAAACTGTTCATATTAAAGAGGCCACACTCCATTGGAATTAACTAGCTCAGAGCCTGCTGTAAGCTTTTGTCTAGACAAAGATCTAAGAGAAAAAACATACGCTGCTCTACCCCATCATTTAAAGGTACTATACATCCCAATACAAAAAAAATCTTCCCATTTAGGCACAAAGCTAGAAAGACACCAAGCAAGAACACAGTTGTTGCTTGCCAGGGTCTTGGATTCAGGACCCTGCAGAGAAAGCACAAAGTCTCACCAATCCTTGAGCTCCTGCTTATACATATGGGCACCAATTACTCTGCTAAGGGAGAGCTTGACAACTAAACTGCACCTACAGAGCTCTGAGGTGAAGGGCAGAAGAATCCAGGTGTTCTCTACATTGCAAGTGAAGGAAAAAGGCTCAGGCAAAAGCATCCAGTCACAAAGCTAATACTATAGACAGAGCTTGACCACAAAAACTTCTCTGAGGATCAAGAGTTGCTATAGAAAGATGGGATCCATTTGATACATCATGGAAAGAGCACCTTTGTCAACAGACTTAACAGATGAGGAAGATTTTAAACTAAATTAAGTCAAACTAAATGGATTGAGGAAGGCCAATCCCAAGCCAAAGTCAGGTAAGGCAGGACAAGGGGACAGGTAAAGCCTAGAAAAGGGCACTCACCTCAAGCATCTGTATATCAACACACACACAGCTTAGCAAACAAAGCAAAACTCATTTGTAAATATAGAATTAGATAATGGAATAGCTTAAACTCCAAACGTGCATATACCTACCAGTTTAATACAGTAGTTAATAAACCTTGGGTCCTGGCAGTATCTCTTGTCATTGAGGAAGGTCTTCACAACGTTCTGCAGGAGCCCAGGCAGCAGCTTTTGCTTTTCCTGATTGGGAAGACTTGCTTCTATCCACTGCATGTACCTGAAACGCAACAGAGAGCAAGGTGTGCACTTGCCCCGTGCCCGGTGAACGTGCCAGGGCCGGGAGGGGCACTGACCTGTCCCACGCCTCCAGCGGGTCGTTTCCCTCGTAGTTCTGTATCCAAGCCTCGTGAATCCTGCGGGACAAGCGACACATCAGGCCGGGCTAGGGGAGACCCGCGTCCCCTCATGGCAGCCTGTCTGCCCTGCTCCCCACGACACACCCCTAGGCCTACCCCCAGCATCACCCCTAGCCCCACGACACCCCGAGACGCCCCCGAGGCCCCGAGGGAAGGGCCAAAGAGCGGCGCCCACCGCGCGGCCGCCTCCATATCCCGTCCCGACGACGCCGCCCGGCCGTTCCAACGGCCGCCGCGAATTCAAACGCCGGCGCGTGCGCGCGGCGCCGCGCCCCCCCATTGGCTGCGCCGCTCCGCCAATCGCGGCCGCGCGCGGAGAGGGGGCGTGGCCTCCGCGGCGGGCTGCGCCCTGAGGCGAGGGCCGCCTCTGCCCCCGCCCCAGATGCCGGAGTTGGGGCGGGGAGGCTTAAAAACAGTAAATAAGTAAAAATAAAGTAAAAAGAAGCAAAATCGTGTTCAGCAAGTTCTGAGGTCAGCTATGGGCCCCCCCGCAGTCACCGCGCGTTGGTCTCGATGAGCAAAAGCTGCCCCCAAGGCTCGCTCTGGAGCCTTCCCCTGGCAGCGCTGGTTGAAAATGAAGATAAGGAACATACATCTTCAATAATGCAACTAAAACGGGGCAATGACTCCGAATCGAGATCCCTGAGGCAACACAGGAGCATACACGGATGGGAGCTACCAGAGTGTAGTAGAAGGATGCAGAAAGACAAGCACCAGGGCTCTCCAAAGACCACCAGGGACCACCAAAGGCACCCAGGGCACATTAGATATATTGTAATTAGCTCCAGGAAATGCAATGAATGTGTAGGATCATTCCCAAAAAAATCAGTGTATCTGATTGTAACAGGCTTTGATTAACACAGCACAGGGGGTGCACGATGGGTGTAGCGATCCTCCGTGCACCCAGAGCTGTAATAAAGTAAATGCCTGCTTTGTAACACTATGGTGGTCTTGAGAGGTTAATTCCCAGTCTGGGTGACAGTTTCTGGCCATCACAGGACATCCAGCCGGCACAAAGGGGTTCTCGGGGAGAACCTCTGATCCTCAGACCAAAATGCTTCAAGCATGGCCCCTGGGAAAGTAAAAGTCATTCCTGTCCTACAAACAGAACCCTTAAAAAGGGAGCTGCATGCCTGTGATGAGGCAAAAGCTTTCCAGATTTGGACTGTAGAGGTCCATATTGAAGGGATGGGACAGTCCATGGGTAGGTTAGATTCCCACTCATTAGGTGAAGCAAAAGCTGCATGGGATAGGGCTTGGATTTGGACACAGCAGAACACTGTGATTCAGGTGCCACTGCACCAGACAGTGGAAATGCCTCTATGTGTAAAAAATCCTTTTTCAACCACTGATTTAATGAATGGGAAGGAATCAGCTATTTGCAAGTGCTTCTGAATACTTGACTTGCTCCCAAGGAAAAGTGCATGGTATTGGAGGGAGCTTGAGAGGAAAATGAGAGATGAAATACTAAGTACAGCCAGGAACATTTTATGCTGGTCCAAGATGGGACTCTAAAGTTGGAGCAGAAATAACTTTTGACCAAAACAAGGTTCAAGTACATATAGCACTAAGTAATGCTTGGTAAGCACCGATATATACGTTGCAGGAATTCTCAGAGCCAAAAAGACACTGAGGAAAGGCAAAGTGATGCAGCATCTTCGGACCCTTTAGCCTGGACAAATGAGAAATGTGGAAAAGCAGAATGGACAGAACCAACAGGAATAGAAATAAAGCCAAGGCAAAGTCGGTAAGACAAAGACAATATCCTGTAAAGTCAGAAGCCAGCATCAGAATAGAACCTATAATTAGTTAATTTTAAAATACAGACTATTGTGAGAGTGTCAGTCACAGGAACATCATTTAAGCCCTTAGATCTTGTACCATCAATGAAAGAGTAGTTGCTGGATATCCAGCAATACTTAACTCTGATTATAGTTGTTAACAATATAAAAACATCTTTTACAGTACTGGATTTAAAAAGATGCTTTGTTTTGTATCCTAAGGGAAGAACAAAGCCAGAAGCTCTTTGCTTTTTGAGTGAGAAAGCCCTGCTGGAGAACACAAAATGCAGCTGTGCTGGACCATGCTCCCTCAAGGCTTAAAGAATAGCCCTACTCTTTGGTGACATATTGACAAAAGAACTGTGTCAAGAGCCGTGTCGAGGTAAGCAGCTGAATATTACCTTGTTGCAGCTGTATTCCAGTTGTTCAGACCTGAAAGATACTCCCATACAAAAGCCAGGATGGGAGTTTACTACTGGAAGCAGTTTTAGGGTAAAAGAGCAGACAGCCAGCTAGAAGAAATAGAGACAAAACCACTGCCAGCAAGTACATCAGTTCAGAAATTTGAATTGATTGCTTAAACACAGGCTCTGGCGGTATGAGAAAGAAAGCAGGCCCATATCTATGCTGACTTGAAATATACCTCTAGGCTAATACATGCACATGGGAGCAGTGGAAAGGGGATTGTTATCCCTGCTTCTTACTACTACATTGGTGTTAAGAGATTTATTCCTGATTTCAGCAACCCAGGCACCACCTCCCCCCACCTTTCTTTCCCAAGCTTCAGCTGTACCCAACTCCATCACTTTAAAATGCTGCTTATGGGTCCAGAGGGTCACTCCACTCTTAGGCACCAAGATTTCTTCCTTTCCAGAGACTATTGACTTGAACATACCATACCACATTGCTGCAAAAGCTGTTTATTTCAACTTCTGCTCATCCATATGTGCATATAAAAAGTGACTAATAGAAAATTCCAGTTACAAGAATTAAGATATTTCATAACATAGTATGTAGCAGTGTCTTATTGCATGAGTATAGGTAGGATACGCATGCCCACCAACTCTCCCCCCTGCTTCTCCTTTACCATATTTCTAGTTTCAACATTTAAATGAGACTTTACATCAGATAAAGCTCATATCACAACAACTCCAGTACTTCCAGCATCTGCTGCCCCTTCTGTGTTTGATCTGGCCCCAGGCACCTGACTGCAGTGGCAGGTTGGCTGAAGATAGCCAGAGGACACTCTTGAGATATAGGGACAGCTGAGAATTAGCTTCTCCTTGTCCATAGGTGTGGGTTTCCCAGATTATGCAGCAGCCTCAAAAGTGACATTTCTCTGTACGGCATCAGCAGGGGACAGGTTTAAGATCTCTTCAAAGGAAGGACCTTCATCCTCTGGGGGGAGTTCTGCCTCAAACATACGCTGAAGCAGAGCATCAACTGTCCTGTACCCTGAAGTGGACAGCAAAAAAAATAAAAACAAAAGTTAGCCTAAACCTCCATGCCTATTGCTCAACTTTTACTGAGAAAAATCTCCCCAATGAAGCTCCTACTCTCATCTCGTTTCTACTGTGTTTCCCACAAAGCAGAAAAAAACCCACAACATCCACCAATACCTTAACCGCCTTCTCTTCATATTTGATCTATTTTTAAGCATCCTGAACACTTGAGAATAAGACTTATTTTAACTCTTAAAGGTCTATTCCTTTAGAAGGATCCCTTGAATGGACGTATGATCTTAGCTGTCATAATAAGAAATGTGAGGTCAAGAGGATCTGTCTACAGGACAGCAAGAAAGTATAGCAATAATGTCAGTGGAAAGAGGTATGTGTATTACACCAGAGAACGTGGCATGTAGTTACCCAGTGATCCAAGTCAGGAGGAAAGCAAAGTGCATACAGGGAGTAGAGAACAGGCTTCTGAACAGCAGGACCTTAGCCATCAAGACAGTGTCTTTATGGAGTTGACAAGCATGCACCTTGGAGCTCGGTAGAGCAGGAGAGCGGAAGAGCACTGCTATAGAAGTAAAGAAACAACATTATAGAGTGTCTAGGGCTTCCTAAATGCCTCAAAGCTGGGTTTTGGCAGCTCAAACTCATGGCCAACCTTCTGCCTAGGAAGCAGAAGTGCTCCCAGAGCTTCTCCAGAGACAGAGACACATCAGCATTCTGGCTTCTTTTAAAGAAACTATTGAGCAGACCAGCAGCAGCTGCTACTTCCAGAAGTTTGCAGGGTCACACTTACGTTTGGAGGCGATTTTAAACACCAGCCCTTTAGGCTGTGGCTTTGTTCCACCTTCTCCCTCAAGGTCATGTTCAGCACTCTCCATATTATCAATGAGTTTTTCATCCTGGAGCTCATCCCTACACGAGAAAGACAACTAGAAGTTATTCCTGGGGAGGGCCACATGTGCACAGCAGCAGAGGATACTCTCAGACAGGAGAAACACTGGACCCTGCAGGTCTCCAGCTCTCCAGCACCCTGGAGAACAGCCCTGGGCTGGAAGAGCACACCAAAGCAGGCTTTGAACTCAACTTCCACCTGCAAGAACAAGGTAAGTGACTATCTGCTACCATCTAGTAGCTCCATCGTGGTTACATCTGACGTGCCAAGCCAGCCATTTCCATCTTGACTCTTTAGGGGACTTACTCCTGGATTCCCATTCCCAGTTCCTGGATTTTCTGTTCAATGGCTGTTTCTACTTCACTCTTCTCCAGTGAATACTCCACAAAGAAAGCCTCCAAGATGAACGACACAAAGATACTGAAAGAAAGAAAGAAATAGCAGGATTACATAGCAGCACTAGCATCCCCTGTTCTTATGGGCACAAGCCATTATCTCAATCCCAATTTCACAATCGAGCCCTGGGGACCCAGGACTCATAGTAATGTGTGCTAGAGACAGGGAGCTGTCATAACCAAAGCAGTACTCCACAGACAAAAGAGCAGATGTAACAGGTTCTACTACACTAACAAATCACAGAATGGTTGAGGTTGGAAGGGACCTCTAGTGATCCAGCTGGACCTCTGGGACCAAGGGACCCAGGTGGGTTTGGAAGATCTCCAGAGAAGGAGACTCTACAACCTCCTGGGCAGCCTGCTCTAGGGCTCTTTCACCCCCCCACACAGGAAAGTTCTTCCTCATATAGGGATGAAATTTCCCGTGTTTGAATTTATAGCCATTAGCCCTTGTTCTGTCACAGGCCACCACCAAGAAGAGCTTGGCCCCATTCTCTTTACATTCTCCCCTCAGGTACTTGTACTTGCTGTTATCCTGCTTTTCTCTAAAAGCTGCCCCATGCATGACCCCTGGATCATCAACACAGCCCTTCTCCTCACTCCAAAAGTGAGATGAGAGCAAACCAAGACTTACTTGACAATAATTATAACCATCACAATGTGGAAAGCAATGAAGTAGAGCTTTGCAGCCTGGACAGTCACTTTGGCAAATCCGCTGGCAAAGAGTATAACAGAGTTAAGGGCTAAAGTGCTAGGAGAACATTTTGCTGTGCACTAACACTATGGGAGGAAACTGATAAATATTGCCTAGTAGCAGTCTTTGAACAGGCATTCTGCAGGGATTATTTGTATTATGTGGCACTATACACACAAGTACACATAAGGCAGAGGGAGGAGCAGGAGGCAGAGGAAGAGTGTGGTACTATGGAGGTCAAGATTAGACTTTCCACCACAAAGGATATCATGCCACTGATTGACAACAGTGAGCTCCAACAGGACTATGAAGGAAGAAGCAAAGTTATTGAAATTGTTCTTGCAGTATTTCCCACGGGCAAACATAGAGTCCTTGAGCGCTGGGTTTCCACACTCCAGAGCGTGAGGAGCATTTGAGTTTGCAGGGAAGAACTGGATTTTCCCTTGGAATAACTCCATGCCAATGATAGCAAATACATAGTACACGACCTAGGAAGAGAAACTCCATCCATCACTTGTTTCTCCAGTAAGCAACAAGGCCCATAGCAAGTTTGCTAGTTCCTGCAGGAGGTTTTGTTTTGTCTTTTAGTTTTGTTACAGCAACTGCAAGCTGCTGAGGAGTAGATAGAGGTAAAGAAATAACCCACTCAAGGACGATTCCCACCCAGGAATAAAACATAAGCCATAAATTAGAGCCCAAGGACATGGGAATTGAGAATTCTCAAACTATGAGCAAGCTAAAAGAGAGAAGAGAGAAAAAAAAATAGGTTGAAATAGGTTTCTCATTCTCATCTTTTTTTGCCCAAATAAATGATTTTTTTTTTTTAAACATGCATGACAACTAGAAACCAAATCAGCACTTACAGTTTAAATGGCCCTCCATCCAAAGCTTATTCTCTTGGAAGCCTTTAAACACATTCCCGCAAATCTGGAGTGCTTTGAGCTAAGATACTAAGAGTATCTTACCAGAGTCAGCCCACCAAACGTCAGCATTGTCGGTACGATGTTTATCAGCGTGTTCATGATGACTCGAAACCTGCAGCAAATGATTTGTTACACCACCTCCCACGGGGAGGCTCTGGTAAAGCCCTTGCTTATCTTCACATCCCACCCAGCAAGGGCTCCCCCAATGCACCCATTTATTATGAAAGCTTTCAGAGAAGCTGCAGCACCTCAGCTCATCACAAGCACAAGCAGACAAGGTCTTGGGGATGTTTGAGGAGCCACATTCAATCCAAAACAGCCCTGACAAGCAATGCAAGACTCCCAGCTAGTCTCTAAGAAGGCCTATCCCATAAATTCATCCCTTTTCCAATCTGTTTTGTACCTTTGAATGCTATCAACAATCCTTATTAGCCTGAGGACCCTTAATATGAAGACAATGTCCAGAATTTGTTGGCTGTTGTACTCTGTGGCTGAGAAAGGTAAACAGATTATTTTTCAGAAAAATATAAACAGGGAACTATGGACTTTAAACATTATTAAGCACTATCTATTTGTGCAATAGGTAGCAATAACCCTCCCAAAACCTACCTCATCCTCCCCACCAAAACCTCCCAGAGTCTAAGTTAGTTCTTAGAAACCCTACAGAAAATTCCTTGGCCTTTCTAAAAGCTTCCCAAGCCCAAGATGATCTCAGAAGAACAGGCTTAAGACCACCAGGTTTCCCAAAAGCATGCAGGTTTTTTTTAAACTGCACTTACTCGATTTTAGGGTGGTGTTGAGTATTGTTGCAGTCAAGGCAGCAAAGATGATCAGGGTATCAAACCTAGCACGAGAGAAGGGTAGGGCTGTTGGATTTGTGGGCAACATAGAATGGACTTCTAGCTGCCACATGACAGATAAATAGTGACCCCTGCCCCTATATCTGCACAGGACTGTCTTTTTTTCATCTTAGATTTGCACAACAGAGTGGGCAAGAAAGCTCTTGTTGAACAAATCTTTCCCTTTGCCCAGCAGAAGGAAGTGGTGTTCACATACCACAAAGCCATCTTTGTTAAGAGAGCAGCTCAAGGTCTTTTGTCACCTAGGGGTCAGAGATGACAAGGGAAAAGCCCTGAGCTAGCAGAGGGGACAGAGCACAGAAGTCCCCATTAAGGCCAGCAAAGAGCACATCGTTATCCTGTGCTTACAATCAAGGACACCCTAACACATGAGTTGTCTCAGTCAGCTAATCTCCCTCAGGAGACTTTCAGCTCTTGACAAGCAGAACCTCTTCACTTAGCACTACCTTCACAACAGCCACCCATGCCACTCACCAGTTCCAGAATTGGTTTTTGCCAAAGAACGTCCTTGGTTCATAAGTGTACACTTTGAGGAGTATCTCAATTATATACAATGCAAGGAAGACCCACTCCGCATAGGAAATATAGGGGCTTTCCTCATCCAAAGCAATGAATATAGCATTTATCAGAATGATGACATCGTAAGTCCAAACAAATCCCCTGCAAGAAGAGAAGAGAAAGAAAGAGGAATCAGTCTGCCACTCACAAGGTCAGTATTACAGTTATTTCAGAGTTCTCTTCACCTTCTCCCTCAGGCAATGCTATTTAGAAAGCTTTCTTTACCAGGCCATTCCTCCTCCATCTGAGAGTTTAGGAGAGTCGCTCTGGACTCTGGCTTTGCTCTTGACATCCAACAGTAAAAGCAGCACGTGCCTTCAAGGTATACAAATGTGTTTCCTCAAACACAATTAAACACAAACTTTTAGATACTGACTGCAACTGAATATTCACCAACTCAAGCAACATTTTTTTCAAGCAGAAAGTCTAGACAAGTGAAAAAAGACTGAACAATATTAGGAGTGGCTGATAAACCAGTTAGGAGTTTTGCCATTCAGAGGCACCCCAACATGCTAGGAAAATGGGTAGACCCAAATATCCTGAGTTCAAATTGAAACAAAGTCCTGCACCTGGGGAGAAATAACCTCACACACCAGCCTAGCCTGGGGGCCAGCTGCCTAGAAAGCAGCTCAGCAGGGATGATCCTGGGAGTCTTGGTAGACAAATTGCCAAAACACAAGCCAGCAATGCACCCCTGTGGCAAAGGAGACCAACAGCATCCTGAGTTGCACTAGGAAGAGCACTGCCAACAGCTCTAGGCAAGTCCTTGCCAGCTACTTGCCACCAGGGAGACCTTATCTGGATGCTGACATACCAAAGTGTTTGAGAACAGGACTCCTAATATCTGTCTGCATGAATTTGCAATCTACAGCAAATCTCTGCGGCCCTTTGGGATATTAAGAGCTGCTCGCTCCAACAGCGCAGACTTACCTGTGTCTGACCATGCTGCGCAGAAATTGGCTTGCTGCAGAGCTGTAGACACGAGGCATCCAGCGGCCCAGCGGATGCCTGCGTATCTTCAGGGTGATCACCTGGATGTTGAGCAGATCTGCCAGGCGTACAAAGGACTTTTTGTCTGCAGCAGGGAAGAGCAATGAACATCAGTCTGCATTCGTAACAAAAGTGACAGTGACCTGCAAATGTAAACTTGCCTGCATGCAAGTTGCAGCAGCTTAGTCTCAAGCTCTGTGTACTGCAAAGCACAGGACACCACAGACTGAACTTAATTCTTGGCAGTTTCTCTGTCCCATTTCTGGCAGACTGGCTTAAGCCAGAGCTCAGTAGCCCACACAAGCCTTTCATGATCAGAATGAGAAGGATCTAGAATGAGGAGATTGGCCCATCATTCCTGATATCCTGTCTCCATCAGGAACAGAGAAAGACTCTCCAGAAGAATGCGTGGGACACCACATTGCTCAGAGTAATCTGTTAATAAGGGAGTGTCCTGAGAATGGAACCTGCCACGGGACACGGTCAACCTTGCCACATGGGAAGAGCTGCCCACAGTATACCCAGCACTGTCTACAGCACATGAGGAAGCACAGGCAGGAGAGAAAAAGAACAAAGGGACACACCCAACTTTCCAAAACTCTTCCTGCTTCCCTCTCCAGAGGGTTAGAGAGCCCTGAAGTCCCTCTAGGTCCATTGGGGAGCACAGGTCTCTTTGCCAGACCCCCTGAAGCATGAGGCTCCTGACCCCAGGCTCTTCCCCAGGCTCCTTGCCAATGCCTGAGCACGTCAGGCCCCTGCTGCTCACCTATGAAGCCCTTCTGCTCATCATCCGATATGTGCAGCAGCAGCTCGCGGTGGGAGTTGCTGATATCAGGAGCCACCAGTTTGACAAGCTGCTTCCACTGGGCTTCTCTAACCACAAATTCTGCTCCCTCCTCTTCCTTCAGGAGGTTGAAGGCCTCTACCATCTTGCGGCGCTTCATGTAAGCAAGCTTGCGGATCTCATTCTGGAAGGAATTTCAGGATTCAGACAGCGTCAATCCTTCTTCCCCCTCCTCTGCTTTTTCATCTTGTTTTCATGCACTGTAACGCAAGATGAGGCCCAAAGGGCTACTTTGGGAGAGATATTAGGCACTACATACAGCACAATCAGTGGGGTGAGGGAAGTGCTATTTAACTGGCAATAGGAGCATTCTGGAGATTCCTAGATCCCTTGCTGCTGGAAGATGCATTGGAAACCGGAAGAAAGGATGCTGTCTAGCAGAAAGGCGATATGAGGGAATATCTTTAAAAGTACCTTTCAAAAAATAAGATCACAAGAACTGCACAGCCTCAGGTCACAGAAGCAGAGACACTGCATCCACATGTGCTGCCCATCCACAAAGATGGAAATTGTAGCATTTGCTTAAGTCTCTGGGCACATGTCCTGAGCTGCACTCACCCAAGGCAGTAGGGACAGTTCCAGTTTATTCAGACTTCCCTTTACACTTCCTTTTCTTTAAGGACAGGGTCAGTGGCATAAGAGTGCTGTGTGCTTAGTCAGCTATGCTGCACAAAGACTGTGTTTTCTGTCCCTTGATACAAGAAGTCAATCTGTGCTTCCCATTTGCAGAACCTCAGCAGAGGCCAGAAACCATGAATCTGCTCAAGAGAAGCTGTTCCACATTTTCTAGAAATTTCTAGGTTTTCTAAAAAAATAGGAAGGCAGCTACTGGTGACTATGCACCTCCCCATACATTACCTTTAGGTGTTTTCTGTAATTGTTGTACACAACAGCCAGGAAGACAGACATGAAGATATAGGTGTTGATGATGACATAGGTAATGAAGAATAGTGCATACCACCAGCTGAAGTCAAATGCTGGCATCCTAAAGAGGCAGGAAAGATTATCGCTTGTAGAACAGAGATAAAGTCGCTTCAGAAAAACTGTCTTCTAAAGGGCTTTCATTTTTTTTTTTTGGATAGCCAAATAATACCTCATCTCTGAATGGAAGAATCTATTACATAAGTTTTCCTCTGCTAATTCTTCATCCTGTATTCTTTGAGTCCCCTTTTGAGCTACCAAGTTACCAAGCCAAACAGAATTGTTGTAACTAGAGATCCTGCCGAGATGCACAAGAGCTCACACCACTAAGCAAGCAGTGCAAATGCAGTCACACACACCAGGTGAAAAAGTCAGAACACATACATGACATCCGGGCTGTTTGCTGTTGTCACCAACACATACAGATCAAAAACAATTTCCAGGTAATTGGTAAAATATGGCAAGCCTTCTGCTGTCTGAAGATTCCTAGGAGGAAACAGACACCTCAAGTTAAGGAGAAAGGCCACATATCCCATCCCACAACTGCAGGGATCAGCAGTGCTCATATTCAGGAGTATAGCCCAGAGCTGCCAGATACTTCTGGGCATGGGGGTATCACATCCATTCTTCCCAACCCCTTTGGAGCAGAAAAGGATTCCTACCTCTCACCAAACAGCTTCAAGGCCATGAGGGAGAACATGAGAACACTGAACATGAAGAGCAAGAAGACATAGGTGATCTCTGGGAATGTGTTGCGGATGCTGCGAAACGCTCTTCGAATCTGCCAGGGACAATGGAAGTTTAGAAACGTGGCAGTACCTGCTTTTCCTTCCCCACCTACACAGAAAAACCTGCACGGGGACAGATAGGCAAGGGGACACAGGAACTCTTCTGTTGCCCAGCGGGAGAGATTCTGACCCAAACATACCAGTTCTGTTCTGCAAAGGCCTTTCCTCTTCACCCCCCAAAGGAGATACCACTGGGAGTTCAGCTAGCTGAGGGACAAATTGATCTCCAGGGACAGAGACAAGAACCTCTAGACCATCGAACCCACACTCAGAACATGGGAGCTCAGCTGTTCCCTCCTCCAGGCCTCCACACCATCACAGTTTATTCATGACAAGTCAGCACCAAAACAGCCTTCAGCACCAGCGCAGGTATCTCCCCACGACAGGAGGAATCAGAGTCCAGACAGCCTGTCTGGGCTGGGGACTCAGTTTCCGAGCACAACATGACACTTGTGCCTGTTTGCCTAGCAGAATTCCAGAAATAAGTAACTCGACCCTGACCAGGGCAGGAGAGAAGCTGCCCCAATCTCCAGCACGTCCACCCTGCGCTGGAGAAACAGCCTTCTTGTCCACAACGCTGCTTATTTTCACTCATCTCAAGGATAGTTTCTAACTCTGCTTGCAGATGGAGGCTGCTCTTCCACACAGGCTGGAGAGGGAACACCCTTCCTTACAGGAAACATGCTTCCTTCTCTGTGCACCACTAAGCTTCACCCAGCAAGACCTGAGCTCCAGCATGCTCCACACCCATGCACTTCCCACCAAAAGCATCCCTTACCTGGCGGCTCTCTGCAAAGTTGATCAGGAAAATGGGCCTCACTATTCTTGACCAACGAACACTCCTCACGTTGTATATCCTGAGGGCCCCAAAGATAGCCAAGTCTGTTAGAGACATCTGGAAAAAAAAAGACAAGTAACATTCTCAGAAGCTAATTTAGAAGTGTAGCCAGATGATGACAGCAATGTTAGCTAGTCAAGGGCATACATACAAAATAGACTTGTACAAACAGGCTGAGGTGGAGGTTGAATTGGCTGTGGCTCTTGACGAGTCCTTATGCATCAGACCCACATTATCAGGGAAGCAAAAGGAAGAAAAAAAACACCTCCACGTTGACCACTTCAATCTTGGTGGCCGTGCAGACCTAACTCACCAGGATTGCGACCATGACACAGATGTTCTTGGTATCCTTCCAAAATACGTTGCGAGGGGTGACTTTTGCAAAGTGCATAAGCCGGACAGAGAACACCAGAAGGCACAACACTTCAATGAGAGATGTAGCCTACAGAGAAAGGAAAAAGAGACTCCTCAGTCAGGACATCTGAGCGCAGGGCTAGATCTCTTCACAGAGATGAGGATAAAGGCTGCAGAAAAGCAGTCCTAAGGGCAATACATTGCTTCTGCTTTGAGATACAAGGACATCAGGCAGAAGACTGATGTTTTCCAAGACAAAGTGTCACTTTTACTCATGGTCACATCCGCCACAGGTGATGTCAGTCACGGCAGCCATGGTTCCTACCTGGTTACTAAGCCCATTCCCCTCCCCTGCATTTCCAGGAGATCAGAACTATCAACAGGAAAATAATTATCAATTTTCTCTTGATACCTTCAAGAAAGAACCCTTAATTTGCTCCAATGTGCAACGTGGCAGGAGCTGTGTTCCTGCTACCATGCAGCCTGAAGACTTACCAAGAAGGGGAGCGGGTACACAGCAGGTTCTTCAAAGAGCACAAGGGAAAGGTTGAGGAAGATGAAGAAGTAGGTGGTTGCTTGCATCACCCAATGGTTATAAAGATAGTAAAGCCTGTGGGGAAAGAAGGCAGTAGTACCATGAACCAGAGAGTCAAAGCACATCCCCGAGGACTCGGAATATTCTTCTGAGAGCCCTTTTCCAAGTAGTCCCCATTGCAAGTGGGGAGAAGGGTGTCGGTGCTGACAGGAGAATGGGGACACGTTTGCAAGTTCTTGCTAGTCAAGGGCTACAAAACACGTAGATTTTTTTCTCTCTCTCTAATTACCTTGTTCCTTAAGTTGAGTGCAAACTTTTACAGAGGTCAGAAAGCCACATGACACACAAACCAAGCCTGACTAAATAATTAACCTCCTTTCTTTGCAGGTTAAAAAGCAAAGAGACAAGACCAGAAGAGCTACCATAGAGATACCAAGTAAGTGATGTTTAACACATCATTCAAGAGGCCCTAAAGCACCAAAAGCCACTGCCGATGTTTGCATTAACCACAAACACGTCCAGTTCCAAACTCCCACAGCTTTCACATGACTTTTTCCTCCCGTTTTCCTCCTGTTTGTGCAAAAGCAATCGTGGAAGGACTTAGTGTTTCCCAACGGACACAGAGAACACCCGGAATCACCTCGGCTTCCCAAGAGCTGCATGCCATGAAGTTTTGGGGAGCGCGGCTGATGATAGGGATGTGGACGAGGCGACGGTGGCAGCACCGTTACGACAGTGGAAAAACGGGAGAACTTGGAAAACTTGGAAAACTTGGAAAAAGAGGCGGTTTGTGCAGCTCCGAGCGAGGGGGCCGTGCGCGGGGGCGGCTGCGCGGGCAGCCCCTACCTGACGGCGCCCGGCGACGTCTCGAACGGGATGTTCCTGTTGTACTGCGCGTCGGACACGAGCGCGGCCGCCAGCAGCAGCCGCCCCTGCGCCGGCGCCGCTTCCCCCGCCATGTCCGCGCGGGAGCCCCCGCGGCGGCGCCACCCGGGGCGGAGCGGAGCGGAGCGGAGATGGCGGCGCTGGGCTCGGTGCGGCTCGCGCTGCTCGCGGCCTTCGCGGCGGGCGCGCTCGTGGGCTGGCAGGCGGCGCGCGCCCGGCGCCGCTTCCTGCGCTGGCGCGAGCGGCGGCTCCAGCAGCGCCTGGAGGCCGCGCGGGAGCGGCTCGAGGCGGCCTGAGCGGCACCGGGAGCGCCGGAGGGGCCTCGCCCGGGATAACAGGAGCGGCCTGCGGGGCAACGGGAGCGGCCTGCGGGATAACGGGAGCGGCCTGCCGCTGCTGCCGAGACCGGACCGTCGCCCGCCTCTGGGAGCCGCCGAGAGAGGATCCAGGCACGAAGCGCTCCGAACGCCCCTGATTGCTTCCAAGGACTTTGTGTTACCCCCGCGCTGTCTCGCTGTCGCATTAAACCGGTGAAACGCTGTGTCCGGGGCTGGTTTGTTGTGAGCACCGGTGGCAGGAGGGCCTGGGGAATCTGGGATGAGCCGCAAGCCTCGGTACCGGGAGGCGCGAATGGAGAGAGCCAAGGGAATGGCCAGGCATGGATAGAGCCGCGGGCCTGGGCCGCGAGAGCCGGCCGGTGGCGTTAGAAATACTGCCAATTAGCAGCAATACTGCCAATTAACAGCAATACCGCAAATTAACAGCAATACCGCAAATTAACAAGCAATACTGCAAATTCACAGTGCTTTGGGCATGGAGTTTCAGGCAGCGTAAGGGTCACACGATCCTGTGATTTCATCGTTACCATTTCGTACCACAGCCGCTTCCAGCAAGTGGGCGTCATGGCATGAAGCTCCTGGGGGTTTTCCCTTAAAATTATGCCTGCAGTTTGTACCTTTGCTGCAGGCTGCTGGTGAGTTTTTTTGGGGTTGGACCCCTGCCTTTTCTCCAGGCTTGCTGATTTCTTTAATTTCATCATTTATTTCTTGGCTTTCGGCTTCGGTGCATCCGCACTGGGGAAGCCCTGGGGCTTGGGCGCAACTTTTTTTCCGGCGTGGCTTAATGTGGAAAGGAACTTGGAGGATTTAATTTAACAACCCCTATCGCTAAATAAATAAGTAAAGGAAAAATAAAGCAATAAAGGGGGGGAACAATAAATAAAGGGAAAAAATATGCTTCTCACTAAATAAATAAGGGAAAAATAAAGCAATAAAGGAGAAGAATAAAGTAAAAAATACCCCTCTCACTAAATAAATGAAAAATAAATAAATGAAAGATAAATGAAAAATAAATAAAAGAAAAATAAAAGAAAAATAAAAGAAAAATAAAAGAAAAATAAAAGAAAAATAAAAGAAAAATAAAAGAAAAATAAAAGAAAAATAAAAGAAAAATAAAAGAAAAATAAATGAAAAATAAATAAATGAAAGATAAATCAATGAAAGATAAATAAATGAAAGATAAATGAAAAATAGATAAATGAAAAATAAATAAATGAAAAATAAATGATGGAACTACATAGCGCTCTGATTTGTACCCTTAAGTACAGTGACGGGGGAACGCCTACAACTCCCAGCATGCCTCTCGCCCGGAGACCCCCCCCCGCGAGCAGCAGTGCGCAGGCGCACGCAGCGCGTGGCGGCCCCCCCTGCCGGCGTGACGTCATCTCTGCGCGGCGCGGCTGCCGTTGCCTAGCGACCATGTCGGCGCGGCGGGCGCGGGGCCCGTTGCAGCGGGTGCAGCGGCGGAGCCGGGAGCTGCGCGAGCAGGTGCGGAGCCGGCGGAAGGGAAACGGGAAGGGAGCGGGAAAGGGAAAGGGAAAAGGCTCACGGAGCCCGCGGTGTGTTGCAGGTGGCGGCGCTGCGGGACGAGAGCGCGGCGGCCCCGGCCCCCGAGCGGCGCAAGGCCCTGGCGCGGAGGTGAGGCGGCGGGAGCGCAGCGGACCGGGGAGGCCGTGTCCGGTCCTGCTTCTAACCCACACGGTTCGGTGGCTGGAGCCCTCGGACCCGGTCCCCTTTGTCCTGGCCTTGGAGGGGTTTAGTGGGATGAGGGATTGCTGCTACTTCGTTATTTTTGCCCAGGAAATAGCTCCTCACCCGGGGGTGTGTGGGTTCATCTCGCTCCCTTGGTCTGTATGCAGTTCACCCCGTGTTGTGGAAGGGCATCTGCTTGCTTACGTGTGGCACAGCTGGTTTGTGTGCCAAGTGTGAGCCCGGCTTGGCCCTTCCCCGGGATTTGCAGCCCATGCTCAGAGCCTGTTTCCATCAGCAGGACGTTCAGTGAGCGCAAAGCCAAGCAACTCCCTGGACACTGGCACGATCAGATACTTGCTGGCCTAGCTCTGCTCCTGGCTTGGCTCTGAAAGCACCCAAAGCAGCCCCAAATGCACAGAGGGATATATCCTGCAGCTTGCAGCACCCATCCGTTTGGTCCCTTGCATTTTAGCAAGAGAAGACAAGGATTGTTTAAAAAAAAAAAAAAAAAAAAACCAGTAGATGCCACCTTGGCAGTTGAAGGCTAGTTCTTGGCATCAGTTTTCTGTGTTGCTGCAGTATTGACACAGCCTAGAGGGATGAGATGTGACCAGCTGGGCCACTCTGAATAACACAGGCTTTTATGTGTCAAGGAGCGTGCCTAACTGCAAAAAGTCTCCCAAGGAACCATTATTTATTTGCAGATTGCTGAATATTATTTCTAAATGTAAAAAAAAAATGTGACTTGCTAGTGTAATGTGCTGCAATGCTGCACTGTTGCATTTTAGTTGTCTTTAGGGAAAGAGAAATAAGCACAAGTTTAATGTACAGTGCACACTCATGATAGGATTTGTTTCATTTTGTTTCTCTGTTCTACGTCTTTTATTGCAACTTTGGTTCTAAATAATTTTGCTAATATACCTTCCATAAAGGAACACTCAGTTCTTGGCTTACGAGATGCAATTTGGGCAGGTATTAGTATTTGTAAAGCTTTATGTGCACATAATTGTATGAAGGTCCAGATATCTAAATCTACAAATTTTGGTGATTATGCATATTTTGGGTTACATCTTTATCAGAGGTGAGAAAGCACAGTCTGTCTGTCTGTCTTGCTTTCAATACAGATGTGTGCAACTGAGGAAGTCTGTAGAGGAGAACACAAACGTACTTCAGAATTTGAAAAAGGCAAGTGTATAGAGGAGATTTGTTAATGGCTTTCCTCAAAATACATCGTACTGAATATTCAGAGAACACCAACATCCTTAGGTTTTTAGGTGTTTCAGGACAAGAGCAGTGCCCAGCACTGCATAATCCCTAATTGCAGTCTCTGAGAAACATATAACGATTTTTATATCAGAACATATTTTCTTATGCTTCATTATGTATGAATCATAGCCTTAAAATGCTTATCAACTAGATAAATTCATCTGGGAGTGGGGAATGCAGATTTGAAATTTAAGATGAAAATTAATTTTGGCGAAGTAAAAAAGCATGAGAGCTGACACTGAAAAGCTGACACTGATGACAGCAGCCCATGAGGGTGAAATCTGTCGAGAAATGTCTGAGAAACTATCTTTTGGGGGGGAATTTTAGTCGTGTTTGATTTTTTTTTTTGTGCAGTTTATTATATTCTTTTTCTTTTCTCAGGCTGATGAGCCTGCACCTGTAGGGAATTATAATCAGAGGAAAGAAGAAGAAGAAAAACTATTGCAAAAACTTTCTCAGCAGCTGCAGAAACTTTCTCTAATACTGGATCAGGATCCATACAATGTGTAAGTAGCTGAAATATCATTTACTTTCATAGAATTGTGCATACACAGGCCTTCTCAGAGCAGAGTATTCCACAAGTAACAGTGCACGTGACTATTCCAGAGCAGCTTTACGTGGGGATTGCTCTGTTGGTGCAGGCAAGAGTGACTTGGATGCTTCTAGGCAGAGTGATTAACAACTGCAAAAAAAGTAGTTGTTGACACTGTGGTGTCTGCTGTTGGGGAGGAAGCACCGCTGGCATTTGGAGTTTCTTCACATCAGACTGGAGAGTAAAATGCAGGAATGAAAATTCTACACCTGGATAATAAGTTGTGGAGAAGACATATTGCAAACTTTGGAGAGAAATTTTGAGCAGTTCTGTAAAAATAAAAAACCTATTTTTTTTGTTTGTTTTGGGTAGAGATCAGAAGCATCCCCAAACAGAAGATGAAAATGAAGAGGATGACGGTGAAGAAGATGAAGAAAGTAGTGAGGAGGAAGACAGTGATGAAACAGATGATGAAGATGCATTGTTGGATGATCCTGATGTTAAAGAATGTATCGCAGTAGGAAACTTTAACGCACAGCAAGAAGGGGACCTCACGTTGAAAGTAAATATAGCTCTGTGAAAGTCTCTTTCACTGCTTTTTTTACTGCGGATAATCCTGTATTAACCAGTAAGTGTAACTAAATCTCCTGCTTCTGAGGCTCAATCATTTATTTGCAGAATTTGGGGAGAAATGACTTTTTCCAGTGTTCAGTTGGCTTAGCGGGGTCCAGTTTGCCATCTGCTGTAGTGGCAGAATCTCTAGGGATAGTTTGTGGTCCCTGTTATGGGAAGAATTTGAATGACAATCGTGTCTGGGACACCTTTTTGAAACACTTGGGTTTAAACCTATTGGTTGTGTTTTGTCTCTGTCTTTTTCCGGTGGCGAAGAAAGGTGAAGTCCTGCTTATACATGACAAGAAGGCCGACGGCTGGTGGGTAGCTGAAAATTCAAAAGGGGAGAGAGGACTTGTTCCTAAAACCTACCTCGCAGTGAGTGTGCTGTCACCTTGAGAGAAGGATCTCTGGTATCTTTTGTAACTGATAAAATAGCTCTATAAAGCTGACCATAAGGCACCTTGCTGTTTTGCCAGTTATTTCCAAATAACATCGTGGATGTGTGTGTATGGAGGAAGGTAGCAAAAACACAATTTTGCACCCTGTGAGGATGTGACATGATAATCTTGGTCATAAAAGGACAAGTCTGAAGGATTTGTTTGGATTGATTGGGTCCTGCT